TATATATATATATATATATATATATATATATATATATATATATATATATATATCTCAAAATAGAATGCTCAATATTCTTAAAAGAACAGAGCAATAATAAATTAGTAGAAAATCAATTATCAAAGTTTTTTAGTTTTGCACTGTGTTTCATCTAGAAAGACTCATCAGGAATTTATACCAAAAATTAAGTTACAGAAAATCATAAACATCTACTGAAAAAACAACATAAAACTACTGCAAATTTTTAAATATTTGTGGAGTATGTTGACACTATTATAGAAGAGTTCTATAAAATTGTTAATTTTTTTTTTTATAAAAATATATTTTGAAGTTGGATTTATAATACTTATTTTTTGAGCCCGCTTATTTTTATAGTTTTTTATGAAAAATTTATTTTCATGCCTGCAGTTAGAAATGAATTCGAATTTTTTATTTAAAAAGATTTTTGGTTTCCATGTGATACTATTTCAAACTTTTCTTGAAAACATAATATGCATTTTTTGCAAATATTATTATATGGAGGTGCTGTTTAAAAAAATTGACCAATTTAATATCATCAATATTTTTAAAGGATTTCTTATGATTGGCAAATTGTTTTTTTCATTCAGCCTCTGTTAAGCCAACATATTGCTTATTAGGTACATTCTTAGAGAAAACACTTTTTTATACCACGTTTTTGATAAACGTTTTCCATTAATTGGACAATTGTTTTTTGTTTACAATTTAATTACAATTTTCTGTAGTTTTTTAGTTTAGGAATTTTTTATTTAACAAAGCATTATTGTGACCTTTTATAATTCTTTCCATTTTTTTTTGTGTAGCTAACTTTAATTGTATTTTAATTAAAAAATTTAATGTAATTTATTAGCGGATGGAAAGTGTTTATGCACCATTTTTATAAGCATTTTTAATATGTTAGTGGAAACACTTTTACCATATGTGGTTTAACCAAATTACATCTCTAAATCTATTTCGTTTTTTTGCATTCTTATTTTTTCAGAGTCAAATTTTAGTTCAAAATTTTAAAATCTACTTTTTTAAAGGGCTTCTCTGTAAATATGTTCTGAGGAATACATTTTAATCAGAGGAGTTTTGATTTAGCTGTTTTATTATTACTTAAAATTTGGATTTGTTTTAGAATTCGGGGTGGATAATTTGAGTTTATTAATTTACAATAATTCATCATTTGGTTTTTTGAAAGGCTTTTATAAATTTTCATAGAGGTTAAATATGACATAAAGAAAATTCACACATTTTAAACTTGTTCTTATTTCAATCAGAAAACCAATTTTTAAATTTTTTTATATCTTCTCTAATTAATTAATGAGCTGTAGACCAGAATTTTTACGAATTACTATTAAACCATTATCACATTAAAAACTTAAATTAATAATATTGATTTTTAAGTATTGATTAATAATAATAAATTATTATTATTGATTATTTTACTTAATAAGTCTAAAATATATAGTCCAGCAAGTTCACACTTTCTGCTCTATCATAACTGACCATTGTTACATCAAAGCAGTCATATATGTTTTAATTTTTTTGTTTTCTCATTAAAATAAAGTAATGTTTTTTCTGGAAATTTTTATTATTCGAATTGTCTTTTCTGGAATAATTGTGTGGATTTTTTCAAATTCAATTGTTTTATCTAAAATATCTGCAGTTTTTGAGGAGTAAAAATCATTAATGTTGATTTGAATAAATATATAGTCTAGTGTAGTCTGGCAAATTGAATAAATCTACAGTTTACAATTTGGCTGACATAGATGTAAACCTGTGTTACATTGTTTACTGCCTAGGATGATTAATGCTGGATCTTCTTGACTCTACTCATAGTTTTTTACTTGTACCTCCTTGATAGTGACTATGCAACTCTTCCTATTATTTCCTAAAAATGGTACAGCTCTAAAACTAACTAGCTGGTAGCAAGGTTTCCCGAACTCTGTAGCAGCTCTCAGAGAGGCTGCCACAGAGTTCGGCATCTATGCACATCTATGCATAAGTCAAATTCTCTTCAAACTTAAATCATGCCAAAAGCAACCCATAATATTAAACAGAAAAAACCATCCTCACCACCTAGTAGTCTTCAAAGTAACTTTACATCAGTTGAATCTTATCTTTTTGCAAAATTTACCAGGCTTGCTTGCTCTTTGTGAAACTAAATTATATCCTGTTGTTCCTTCTTCAGACCTCATTGTTGATGAGTACTATCCTTTGATTCACAAAGAATCTAACAGTCACATACTTGGCTTGGTGGTATACTTACATACCAATTCACCTATTTGTCAAAAAATTAGGTTTTAATCCTTAGACCATTCTTTTAAGTGTTTCCACTTAGCACCTCTTCACTCTATCACCTTTCTCTTTGTTCTTAATTGTTCTCCTTCTTTTCTTGACTACACTCTTTAGATGTAATTTCTAATCAAATTGACCATGGCCTTTCTATTTAACCCTCTGCCAATATTGCTGTTATTAGAGAATTAATAATGCTCATCATGCTGAATGGCTTGGTTCTAACACCACTTTCCATAATTTCTCAATACTTACTCAGATAGTAAACTTTATGACTCGTTTTCTAGACAACCCTAATCACTTTCCTTCACTTCTTGATTTGTGTCTTGTCTCTGACCCTAGCTTATGTTCAGTTTCTCCTTTTTCTTCCTTAGTTAGTTGATCTCTATAAATTTTTCATCTTTGATAATCTCAGCTTCTTCTGACTTACTCTATCATTGCACTACTTACTATCACCCTAAAGCTGACTAGGATGCTTTTTTGTGATTTTCTTTGTGATATTTCTTAGGCCTAACCTATTGTTAGACATTCAAATAACTGCAGCTTCTGTTGCTAAAATCATATATCAATTAAACTCTTTTATGGCTTCTTGTTGAGACAACGTTCCTGTCATAGTCTAACAAAAGTGTTCTCCAGAACTGTTTTGCTTGGCTGAATCTTGTTTTTGTGCCTGCTGCAAAATAGCATCTGTGGTTCCAGTTTTTAAAAACTATAATGAACATTCTGAGCACTCCAATTATTGTCTGATCAGTCTTCTATCTGTTATTAGCAAGGTCTTTGAGTATTTTATCAACAAATTTTTAACATTCCATCTTGAGTCAAATAACTTACTGTCAGACTATCAATACGGTTTTTGATCTTTTCGCTCTATGACTGACTTGCCAATTGTTGTGACCGAATGGTTATATTGCGCATTTTTGTATTATTCATGCGCTATGGTGTATCTAGAAAAAGTTTTTGACAGAAGTTTTTTTTAAATATTTTTCTAAGGGTTTTATTAAAGTCTTTCTTGATGGCCAACACTCTTCTTCATTTCTTCTAAATTTTGGGGTACTTCCTTGGTACTTAGGTTCTATTCTTACTCCTGTTTTATTTCTTATCTACATTATTGTTCTACCTGACAATCTTACATCCAAAGTGGTTTTAATTCAACTTTATATTCCTGTCTTAACAAAAAGTCTTCTTTGCTGTTAACTCAACTTTATATTCCTGTCTTCTCTTTTCGATCTTTTCGAAAAAGTCTTCTCGTTTCGATCTTTTCGAAAAAGTCTTCTCTTTTCGATCTTTTCGAAAAAGTCTTCTCTTTTCGATCTTTTCGAAAAAGTCTTCTCTTTTAGATCTTTTCGAAAAAGTCTTCTCTTTTCGATCTTTTCGAAAAAGTCTTCTCTTTTCGATCTTTTCGAAAAAGTCTTCTCTTTTCGATCTTTTCGAAAAAGTCTTCTCTTTTCGATCTTTTCGAAAAAGTCTTCTCTTTTCGATCTTTTCGAAAAAGTCTTCTCTTTTCGATCTTTTCGAAAAAGTCTTCTCTTTTCGATCTTTTCGAAAAAGTCTTCTCTTTTCGATCTTTTCGAAAAAGTCTTCTCTTTTCGATCTTTTCGAAAAAGTCTTCTCTTTTCGATCTTTTCGAAAAAGTCTTCTCTTTTCGATCTTTTCGAAAAAGTCTTCTCGTTTCGATCTTTTCGAAAAAGTCTTCTCTTTTCGATCTTTTTGAAAAAGTCTTCTCTTTTCGATCTTTTCGAAAAAGTCTTCTCTTTTCGATCTTTTTGAAAAAGTCTTCTCTTTTCGATCTTTTCGAAAAAGTCTTCTCTTTTCGATCTTTTCGAAAAAGTCTTCTCTTTTCGATCTTTTCGAAAAAGTCTTCTCTTTTCGATCGCTTAAAACAGGCAGCAGATCTTGAATCTGATCTAATTTTCTTTATGTCTTCTTGGATTATTCTTCGCTACTAACCTCTCATGGAAATCATATCTACAATCAGTTGCTAAGTTAGCATCTGCTTAGTTTGCTTCTCTTTATCGTGCTTGTCATTTTCTCACTCCTGATTCCATTCTCTACCTCTCCAAACCTCTTATTCACCCCTGTAATGAACGCTGTTGTAATATTTGGGCTGGTTCATCTAATGATGCTTTTTCTCGTCTAGGCAAGGTCCAAAAACGTATTGTAAACAAAGTTGGACCTGCTCTATCTGCCAAGTTTGAGCCTCTCTCCCATCGCCATGTTTTTTCTTTCTTTTCTTTTCCTTCTTTCTGATTTTTTCAAATGCTATCATGTTCGCTGCTCAAAGGAACTATCATCTTTTTGTTCCATCAACCAAAACAAAGGTTGACTTGCCTTTCATCAGTCTCATTTATTTACTGTCCCTGAATGCTCTAAAGACTTTTATTTGTCTATTTTTTTTTTCTGCACCTTTTGGAACTCTCTTCCATCTTCATATTTTACTGACTCGTACAACCTACAACTTTAAGTCTTTTATTAATCGTTTCCTTGCTCTGCAACTCTATTCTTTGTTTTCTAGTATTTCCCAACTTAATTGTGGTTGGTTGAAGTCTTGTTACGAGTGAGTTGAAATTAAAAAATATATATAATAAATGTTAAACAGTTAGTTAAGGTAATTTTATTTTTAGCTGATAATATAAAAATTTTATTAAGCAAAAAACAATATTTTTGGTTCGTAAATTGTTATAAAAAATAATTGTTTTTTTAAGGAGATCCTTTAACATTTAACCAATCAAATTATGAATGTGGTCGTCGTGGTACCTTCAAGTTATTAACTTTTTACTTTGTTACAAGCCAGAGTGAATTATCTTATGTGCAATTTATAAACATGGATATAAGTTTAAATTTTTCAACTTCAGTCTTAATGTTGACACCAGATAGCAACAAAATAAATTATGATTATACTACTGTTGGATTTGCTATTGCAGCAACTGGCTATAGTTCTGCTAATTTCTTTCAAAATTTAACTTATACATTTTTGGTATGTATTAATTTATTTATTTTAATTTTTTTTTGAAATCCATATTATAAATAAAAGTTTGGAATTTTGAATTTAACAAATAAATAATTAGAATAAATTTTATTTTTTATTTTTTTTATTTAACCTTAATTTTAGATGGGTTTAGAATTTAAAGCTATATTGTTAAAGCAATTCTTTTAATGAAAAAATTTATTTAAAAGTTTAAAAGTTTTTTATTTAACAAAAGTTTTTTATTTGTAAATTAGAAAAATTTAATAAAAATTTCAAAAAATCATAGTTGTAATAATATTCATCATCATCATCATCATCATCATCATCATCATCATCATCATCATCATCATCATCATCATCATCATCATCATCATCATCATCATCATCATCATCATCATCATCATCATCATCATCATCATCATCATCATCATCATCATCATCAGTGGTTCTCTGTTCGTTATTGCAACAAGGTCATCAGCTCACAGGATTTTATATTGTTGCCGTGACGCTTAGTATTTTTTAATTTTTTTTTCAGTATTACCAATAAGAAAGATCTAAAAATTTTAGATAGGTCATTTTTGAAAAAAAATATTGAGAAAAAACTGTAAATATAAGAGCTGTAAATATAAGAGTTTTAAAAAATGCGTTGCATTACCGAATGCATCGAAAAAGAGGGTTTATGCATGGTGATCATAAAAATGACATTCGGGTATGTTTTTTTTCTTCATTTTCTTCAACTCAAGCTATAAACTAAATAAATCTTCAAAAATATAATATAAAAAATAAAATAAAATTTCAAAATTTTGACATTTTTCATATCATCGTGGCATTTTTAAGTTTCTGAGTTCAAGTAAACTTTATATAATATATTAGTTAACAAATCTCGTACTAGGGTTTTAAAAAAAAAAGTTTATTAAAAATTTTTTTTATACATTTTTAAGAATTTTTTTTATGCTGGATGTAATATTTACTACATCGAATGTCTAAAAAATATAAACTTTACCTTTTGAAACGAAAAGGATTTTTTGGAAATTTGGTTTTAACTGTGATGTGTTGCATTACCAAAACTACACAGGTTGCATTACCGAACTTTCTGGTTTTTGCTTATAAATGAATTTGAAAGGTCTATTTTGCAATGATTTTTAAGTTATTATTTTAATATAAAACTTATTTACTCTTTTTTATCCAAAAAATAAATATGATGCAAATAATAATTGTAAAATAGAACGGAAATTATTTAAAGTCTTAGTGGCGCGTTATGGGACTTTCAGGGTTAAGAAACGGACAATCAATTAAAACAGGGAAACTTTTTATTAAAGAACGTAAAACTATATATTGAACCTTTATGAAAAAAATTTTTAATAAATAAATAAAGTTTTTAATACAATGTTTATAGTTAACAAATGCGCTCATTTTGAATACACAAATAAGACTATTTTTGATTATTTAAGAATAAAAATTTTACAACAATCATCTGACATGTTTTTTTAAATCAAACTAATACATTTTTAAAGTATTTTCAAGTTGATTTTGACTTTATGAAAAAAATGCACACAGCAAAATGTTGTTTTAAACAACCTTCCCAGCAAACATTTTACAGCGGAATATCAGTTGACTTTTAGAGGCATTTTGAGAGTTTGTCACTGTTTTTCCACTGTAAAAAGGCTCATTAGTTACATAGTGAACCATATTAGATAGCCAACTACTAGCTTTTATATTACATGTGGAAGAGTTATTGGCTAGCCACTTATAGCAAACCCCTTAAGTAAAATACGAGCAAAATTCCAATAAACCGCTCAAAATGCTTATATAGGTTCACTGCAAATCCACATTAAAATAAATGCTGGGTCATTAAAATTATAATTGGGTATCACTTTCACAGATTTTTATAAAAACACAGTTACTCATAGTTTTTAAAGAATCAAAAGTGTTTCATTGATTAATTTCATAGCTTTAACCAGAGAGATTGAAATAATCCTATTTAGTAAAGTACTGTTTTATTATTTTTTATACAAAAAATTATATATACCAATTTTCAAAAAATCATGATTAATATCATAAAGTATGTATCTTATTTAAGTTAATTGATCACTAGTTTGAGAGACATAGTTTTTGCATAGATGCTTTAAATGCTAAGGAAAATTACCATTTTAATGTGGTCTTGTTGACAACACCCTCTAACACAAATTTTTGAAAACTTTACTTTGCAGCAATTTTATTGATTATAACTAAATTCTTAAATTCCTAATAACATTTTTTATTGCAAAATTTTTACAAATTTTACTGAAGATAATGGATTTTGTAACTAGATTTTGTAAGGTACAAACTTACAAAGGATAAAGCACACCACTACATGAAAAAAAATAAATAACTAAATCTTTGATCAATTCTATGCAGAACTACTATAGCCTAGCAATAAGAAACAATCTTAACAATTTGTATGCTTTGAAAAATGCTGTTTCGGTGGTTTTTGTTTCGGTTTTGTTTTGTTTACAGATTTTGACAACAAGAAATGTTGACACTTTATGTGCCCAAGAGACACTGAGACAAACTTGGTGCAAATATCATTTAGACATGGTGAAAATACTTGTGTAGAGCAAGTAAATATTTCTGTTTCAGTCTTCATAATTTTAAAACCTACTTTTAGTGATCTATCTTATCAGATGATTTACTAAAACACCAACGAGACACTTAACCAGATTATTTGGAGACGCTGTTTCTTCAAAAGTCCACTGAACGTTTCAAAAAGAAATAACTAAGAACAATTAAAAAGACTTAGTTAGAAAAAGATAATAAAGAAAAAACTCACAATATATTCCTGGAGGGTTTTGATATGTTCATATAAACTATTATAATGGTTTTATTTTTTTGTTTTATATATTTGTCGTTTCCTCAGAATTAAGTTTTGCCTCGAATTCAAATCTTTAAAATATGCAAACTTTAACCTCGTTTAAGCTTTTGATCTATTTTTTTTTTGTTTTTCACATAATTAAAAAGGATTCGAATCAGAGAAAGATATTACTTTTTTAAAGATATACTTTTTTATGAGAAATACAAAATAAGGAAAATACTTTTTTATGAGAAAAATTGTCAGACATTCGTCCAGCAATTTTTCTATGTTTGTTTCAAATGTTGTATTGCTTTTATATACTTTCATCTTTATTAATTTAAATATTAGATTAAAACATTCATCTTTTTCCTTTAAAAACAACAACAACAAAAAAAATTATAAATAACTTTAAAAATTTGAACTTTTTAACAATTGCATAATATTTAGTAGTTCTTTAAAGAGCACAATTTAGTTATTTATTTTTCCCAGGAAGAGGGAGGATAAAAAACTCATTTATCTCTTTATTTCAAGTCTTTTTTTTTAAATTCTGCATACTTCATTTTGTTTGATTGTGCATGAACAAAATTTTTACTACAATGAAATTATAGTTGCTGCAAATATTGTAATTTTAACTTTTAGGACAAGTCTAAAAACTAATTTATAATTTAAAAGCTTGGTAAAATAATCGTGTTTTCTATGAATTTCTAGAATTAAAAAATAGAAAAAGCATAAAGTCAAGTATTAGTGAATTTCATTGGTTTAAGAGCGGATTTGATTAGGGATTGCCCATAAATTATGCAACGCCTAATTTCACAAATAAACAAAACATAAGAGATCAAAGTTTTTTTCTCGCAGAGCCTTAAGTTAAATAGAAAATGAAAACTGTCATGCAAAAGAATTAAATAATATCTTCTTTTTTTTTTTAAAATAAACTTTGCGTTGCATAATATATAGACAATTTCTAACTGAATGTTTAAACACTTATGCAATCAACTTTGAAAAAGATATAAAATATATTCAAGAATAACGACATTTAACTTTTTCATCAGCTACTCTTACTATTATCTACTTCATCAGCTACTCAGCTACAAAGCTACTCTCACAACTATATAACTAAAGAAAAAAGTAAAGTTGCTTTAACATTTGAAACTTAATTGAGCTTGCACACCCTGCACATTTGTTTGAAATTAATTCAGCGGTCAGGAATATATTTGAGAAACTTTAATAATTTTAAACTTTACTTTATTAGATAGTTTGATTAAACTTGCTAAATATATTGACTTTAGTAACATTTAAGAGTAAAACTATTTAATGTATTTTAATTGTATAATAAGCAACATTATTATCTTTTAATCATACTCCAGGAGTATGATTAAAAGTTTTCATCAGACATATTACTTAAATACACATAATGTAAGAGAATACACATAAAATATACACATAATTAATTATAGAAGAGTTCTTCAAAACAGCCATTTCTTTAAGTTTCACATTACACATTTATATATATATATATATATATATATATATATATATATATATATATATATATATATATATATATATATATATATATATATATAATAAATATATATATATATATATATATATATATATATATATACATATATATATATATATATATATATACATATATATATATATATATATATATACAAATATATATATATATGTATATATATATACATATATACGTTTATATATATATATACATATATGTATATATATGTATATATATATGCATGTATATATATATACATATATAGAAATACATATATATATATATATATATATATATATATATATATTTATGTATATATATATATATATATATATATATATATATATATATATATATATATATTTATATATGTATTTATATGTGTATATATATGTATGTAATAATATATATATATATATATATATATATACATATATACATATATATGTGTATATACTTGTATGTAGTTATATATATATATATATATATATATATATATATAAATATATATATATATATATATATATATATATATATATATAAATATATAAATATATATATATATATATATATATATATATATATATATATATATATATATATATATATATATATATATATATATATATATATATATATATATATATATATATATAT